ACCACCCCTGCCCAGTATCGCACCCCCCCGGACGGATTGGCAAGGCGGGGCGGCCGACGCAGGAGGGGCGGGGGGGCATTTCACGAAATACGGGATGGAGAGACCAGGTGGGTGGGCAAGTGATGATGTTTGGCCCCTTTATACGTAGCATCGCCGAGGGGGGGATGCCAGGCACAGCACTTCCGGCAGCGAGCAACGTTGACGGTGTCAGCGGTTGAACGGCAGCGCGGTACCGAATCACAGATGTACGGGTGTGCATGTCGTGCGATACTTTTCCCCCAGGTCATTTTAAGTGTGCGCCACCTCGAGACAGCGTACTCTCCTCTCGAGGACGTTTCGGAGCTAGGCCACGCAGACAGAAGGCAGGCACCCCGAAAGATTCGTCCGAATCGCACGTTCCCCCGGCTACAAGGCTCGAGTATCACCAAACGCAAGAAACCGACAAGCTACCCTGGTACTTTGTCAAACATTCGTCGCTAGAGCAAAGGCAGGGGCAGCAGAGTAGCACCCCAGCACCTGGAATCCTCCGACAAGCATGTCCTTGAGGAGTTCCACGTGGACCTCCAAGTCGCCCCCACCCCCCCCGGCGGCGACAGTTTCTCGGCTCCGTTCCAGACACGCCGCTTTCCATAGCCGCACGACACCGCCTGCTTCGACGGTAAAAAAAAAAAGAGGCGGCCAAACAACCATGAATGTCCAAGGGTCGTCGTCGCAACGAAACACACTTTTCTTAGAGCCGGCCGGGGTACGGTTTACAGGAATTTACGGGGCCCCCCGGTCTTCGCCGGGGGTGGAGGTGGAAGCAGCAGAGGCTGGGCGGGGCCATAGCGTCAAGTTTCTAGGTTAGTGCCTCGCAACGCCTCCGTAGCACACCAGACACACACGAGGTTTGTGACAAGTCCCCCCTTGCGAGGTTTTGTAGCAGGATTGCGTTCTGGCAAGCACGCTCTATTAGTGTATTCGCCGAGAGCGTCGACTTGACAAACCTTACATCCACCAGACATAGGCAGCCCCCACCCGGCCCGGCTACTCGCTTTTGCCCCCCGGCAACAAGCCAAGGCGGAAAGATCTATCCCCTGCGTGTCCTCCTCACCTTTCCCCCCCGAAACAAACAAGGCGGGGTCATCATCCCCTGCCCCGCCCTCGACGTGGCTGATCGCGAGTACTTCCCCGCTGTGCGCCTCTCGCACCACCTCCGCAACGCCGCCGCCGCCGCCGCCGCCGCCGCTTGATCCTCCCTCGACGCTGCTGCTTCCGCACGCCGTGCCATCGCCGCTCCGGTTACCCGAGTGGTGTAGAAGGCGGGCGCAGATAGCCCCCGACTCATCCCCCGTGACCAGGAGCTCTCCTCGACGGTCGATCGACAGGCACCCCACCTGGGAGGACGGCACAAACAGTCGGAGCCGTGGGCGATGGCATCGACGCCGGCGAAACGAAAAGGTTACGCGGCAACACAAGTTGCGCCTGAAGCAGGACGACGGACCAAATATCGAAAATTCGAGCGGCAAGACTGAGAACGCCGCGCGGCGTCCCACCGCCATAGTCTGCAGCACTTAAGACGACGACGTTCTGGCGTCGTCCGAAACTGGACTAGTGTAAGTCAGCGAAGAGGGTGGACATCAGAAGTCATTCATGTTTTGGCGGATGTTTTGGTCGTTCGCGCGCTTGGTTTTGCCACCGCCAGCGTAGTCTGAGCCCCAGGTTTTGGCCCCCACGAGTTGCGTTAAGAGCTCTCTCTCCCTGACGGCATGACATTGTGCCGACGGCAACGGCATCATACCCCCAAACGCCCAAAAAGCTCGCTCGTGTTCTATGAAACATACATCCTTCAACGCAATCGGCATCCCCGTAGCCTACAACAGACAATAGCCAGACACGGACGGGGGGGTGGGGGTGTACTAGTAGTCGTGCATGTAGTGGATAGGCCACTGACCTCGCATCCCTACAAGGCCGGGAAGGGGGGTGGGGGGCGTACTCTTATGTTTTGCATGCCTTAGCGGTTAGACCATTGACCACGCGTCCGGAGCATTGTTCCCACAGGACCGATCGCCGATGGCCAATCGTTCCTTCCTACGGGACGGGACGGGAGGGGGGGGGGCGATTCAGTGTGCCCAACCTTTTGCCTGCGCCCGGTGCCCATCCAACGCCACCACCCGGGAGCCATCCACCAGGCCAAACCGCCCCCCCCCCCGCCCCGCCGCCTCCGCTGAGCCCGAGCGCGACGTCAACGCCGCACCCGCCTTCCTGCCTCCCGCCTCTGGCAGCCTCGCCCAAAACACCCGGCAAGACCTGCCCTGGACGAAGACTACGTCCCCCGGGTGGCCGGGGACGAAGGACACCTGGGACCAGGCGTGTGGCACTCGGCGCGCCGGGGCGGAGGGAGGGGGGGGGTTCCGCTCGCTGCCGCCGCCGCCGCCGCCGCCGCCGTTTCCCGTCCGTAGACCCCCCCAGAGGTGCACCGGGAGGGTGTTGAAGTAGACCGCGTAGCTGGTTATCGGGGTGGCTGCGTCTGTAAGGGGGAAGGGCAGCGGAGGTTGGCCTTCTTGCGCTTTGAGCTGAACACGGTCACAGAGAGGTCCTCATGTTCTTTGATGGTGTCGTAGCAATGCAAGAAGCATGTTATGATTAGGGAATACAAACACATGTCACCGACCCCTGCAACAAAAAAAAAGAGACCGTCTTTGAAGCACAACACGCTTCCGATGACCTCGGGGATGATTTCCCGTCCACCGATAGTTTTAAAAAGGCCGCTCCCCCGCGTTGAGGATACTTTTGTGCAAAAAAAACTACAGCCCGTAAAGTGGGAACGACGGGATAAAGGTAGTCATCTGAGTGTGTCAAACGTCGTTTCATGGGGTATGATCACTCGCGACTTGGCTCAAGAACATGCCAGATGTTGGGGATCTGCTGCATACATCGAAATACAGCACTTGAAACAGCGACAGCCAGCGTTGGCGAAACGCCAGCGTTCGCTGAACTCCGCCATCTATGCCGGTTTCAAACCAAGCATTGCAGTGGCATCCGCAACAACATACACACATATATATACCTGGTTCGTGCTTGGCGAGTACGAATGATCCTTCGGAATCGCACAGGCCCACCATGCCTGGGGAGTTGGTGTCCCAGCAGCATGCTGTCACGCCTGTTGGCGGAGAAACACCAGGCCTTGTTGCAGCCAGGCAGACACACATGAAGAATGGCCAGACGCACGCACCTGAAGTTAGAGTCCGGCGTTATGTAGCGGTGTACACAGGGAAAGCGTGTGCATGTGCTGCTGGGAGCACGTGCGACACTGCTGCCCCCGACGGCATCTATTTATTACTGCCGTGCAAATGGCACGCCATATTGTTCGATGAACACTAAAGCACCAATGTGCAGCAGCACCAAGGGTTCGTCGAAGACTAGACTTGAGCCAATCGCATACCATTTTCCTCCACTCACTGAAAAGACTCCACCACATCCCATTCGACTGCTGTGGGTATATCTCGAACGGGTAGTCTTTCTGTGGGTGTATACATGTACATCTTTCCTAATACAACCATCGTTCCATGAACACCAAAATGCAGTACCAAGAGTCATCGTCTTTGGACTTTCAGAAGGGGTGAACCTGGTTTAGCCACCCCCTGTTCCGCGACGTGCCCTGCATAGCGACCACAAAATCGCGTGGCACCACGCACCCCGGGCTAATAGCCGCCATGCCAGCAATTGCGACTTGCCCTGAACCGAGGGGTGCTAAAACAGGGCCCACCACACTGCTTGTACATGCGGCTGCAGCGGTACGGCTTGACTTCCACGGAACGGTAATGTGTAGGTGGCACTTCTGCCGTAAGCCGTGCACACTTATTGATAGGTACGGGGTGTACAGCAGTGGTATGGAGACTACGAAAGGCTCTGCTTCAGCAACAACTGTGGCGGAAGAACGGGGAGGTGGACTACGGACAGCATTATAGTACAGCAGCATCTGCAAAACACTGAGCTCCTTGTCGCTGTTGCAGGGTTGAGGGATACATAGGATTTGCGCTCGTGTGTGAAACCAGCATAGAGAAGCACGCCTGCAAACATGCAACAGAGAACGACCGAGGCTATAGATAGGTGCAGTCAGAAACTAATCTCGCATCTAGGCCAAACTGCCGCAGGAGCTCGGCTCGCTCTCAAGCTACAACGCGGGGTTAATATACAGGGGACGCTTCCGAGGACTCAGCAAACAGTAAAATTTGAAAACCTATTTTCTTCTTTCTCTCACATGGAATTCTCTGCACACAAGCGCAGCCCCGTTTCCTCGGTTTCATCCCACGAGAGGACATCGTTACCCATAGTGAGAGGCTAAGCAGCAGGGCATCTCGCGCAAGGTCGGTCGTGTGCTCTCCACTCTTCCACAAGTCTTTGCCTCCCACCAGCTCCCACTCTTTTGTGAAAATTCAAAAGTTGGGATTCCCCCCCTTGAAGAATGCCGCGAAGGTCTTATCGAAAACCAAAGTCAAAAGATTTTCTGGGATTTTTCTCTTGGCTACTAGAATTCGCCACCACATAGACAGCAGACGAGTGCTTGGGTTTTGCACTTGGAGCGCTCCTGCTGTGTGCACCCGGTTCATGACAGGGTTGACAGACAAACACCTGCAATCATACATGTGTCCATGCTCTGAATGCCTGCATTCACCAAACAAATCACATCAGGTCGATGTACGACAAAATTGCAGACAGACAGGCGGTATCGACGTAACATACTCTAGGAGACACTTGATTTTCAGTCGACCATCAATCAGGGTGTGGTTGTACCCTATAGCATAGACCCTCTACAGCAGTATAGTATCAATACACGTATCTGGCGATGATTAATCACGCCTGCTCGCGGTGGATCTTGAAAAAATGGTGTGCTCTCATTTTTTTGAAGAGGATCCAATGCATGCTTTTGCTTCTCACGTTCGTTCATGCTGCTCGGATCGATTCCCTTGATGGGGTTGCGGTGAAGATGGCCCCGTGCTTTTGTTACTATTAAACGGAAAGAGACCACGGAATATCATGCGGCAAGGCGTTGATCCTCAAGAAATGTTAATGAAAGCAAAAAGAGACCACCGGGTAGCGATCATCGTCGTCTGCAGGACTCGAACCTGCGCGTGATATCACAATAGGTTTCTAATCTATCCCCTTAACCACTCGGGCAAGACGACTGGTTGATACACTATGGAGAACCACAGCGTTTCTGACGCCACAGAAATAAAGATCACGGTAAGCGTCCGTAAATGTCTTGCGTCATGCGCGAGGCTGGCTTGGGTTGGCTTCGGCTAGAAGAAACGGCCCCTGCGTACATAGGTCTTAGTCTACAGCGCAAGATGTTGTTTTCGTGCGCATCAAAACTTCAACAATAAAAAACGCATGTATTCGTACAATCAACCCTACACTACACTCTAACTACTCCTCCTGTATTCAGTGTAGACTTCGCTAGATACCCTTTAGAGATCACCATAGAGCCGTGCACTCTCCCAAATGCTGTCGAGGACGATTCCCTCTTGACACATTGGTGGCGACGAAAGCATAGCTGCATGCGGTGGGAGTTAACGCTGAGCGTTCCGTTCGCCTTTATAGAACTACACGCCAACCCCGAAAAACACCATTTGGGGGTGCGTTTACACCCCCTCAAGCTTAGACCCGGCTCCTCTTTCTTCTTCTTCTCCTCCTCCTCCTCCTCCACCACCACCTCCTCCTCCTCCTCCTCCTCATCCCCGCCCACCCTCCCCGACCTCTTCCTCGCTGACCTCTCCCTCTTCGCTGGACTCCGCCTACTTTTTCTATTGCGCGCCGAGAACGATTGTTTCCGGTTAGTCTTGCGCCGCGATAGACTGGGCTATAGGCCTACGCCCCCCCGAAGGGTGCGCTTATGATCATACTCTCTCCCTGTCGTCGTCTAGCTATGTAGGTACGCCGTGTAGCGCACAGGCACGGCGAGCCCGCACGAGCGCACATGGCTAGGGGGCGCAGATGCACATTAATAAATCCTCCGACGGACGTATAGCACGGTGCCCTTTTCAAGGTATGTTGTCGTATTTATTATGTAGAAATTTGCATAGCGTTTGGGGGCCACCCCCCTCTCCCAAGATTTTCCTACAACATAAAAAAGAAAATTGCTACACCTAGGTGTGGAAAATTTCGGACGCCCTGAAGTCAGCCACTGTTGGGTGAGTGAGCTGTTGGGCTTGTTTTTCTTTTTGCTCATGATCGCGGCGACTTGCGTTCGATTGTGCTGGGATCGATTATCCTCGATGGATCTTCCGGTCGGTGAGGATGGATGCAGTTGGACCATTTTCTTTTTTACTTATTTTCCAGGAAACACTATTTTCCAGGAAATATTATTTACTACCATCGACATGCTGTTCGTCGTGGGCCGACTCAAGGAGTTGGGGCGGAGAAGGAAAATGTTACTCTACATGTGCTTCGTCGACCTAAGAAGGCGTATGATTCGGTGGACCGAGAGCTGCTTTGCTGTGGAGGGTCCTGGCCAGGGCCGGGATTCCTGAGGAGATGATCGCCGTCATCCGCCAATTCCACGACGGAATGCGAGCCCGGGTGCGCATGGACGACGGAGAGTTTTCGGCCTGGTTCTGGGTCACACAAGGCCTACGACAAGGGTGTGTGCTGTCCCCACTGCTGTTCAACGTCTTCTTCGCCGTGGTCATCGAGGTCGCTGCCATTCGATTCAGCGAGGATGATGTTATTCTGCAGAACCTGGTGTACCTGGAGGATGAGACGGGAACGGGGGCGAGGACACCACTTGACCGAGTGCGGAGGGCGGTATGGGGGGTGCTGTATGCCGATGATGCCGGCGTCGTATCGAGGTCTGCCGAAGGACTGGCGAGAATTATGACCGTCATCGTGGAGGTGTTCGGGGAGTTTGGGCTGATGGTATCGGAGAAGAAGGCGGACACGCTCCTGATGCGTGCAAAGGAGAAGCAGACAACAACACCACCGCCCCCCCCACCGCCACCGCTGATCATCGAGGCAGCAGGACAGAGGTACGCCCAGACGACTGAATTCCGGTACCTAGGTGGCCTCGTCAACGAACATGGCGACCTCACCCAGGAGATCAATTACCGGAGCAGAGCAGCGTGGGTATGCGTCAGGAGATATGACCAGGAGCTCTTCGACAGGCCGAGAGCACCGTTCCGACTGAAGACTCGCCTGCTCCAGGCCGAGGCGATGGAGGCACTGCTGTACGGCTGCATGACATGGGCCCCACGTCAAGACCAATGCCGGACGTTGCGGACGATACACCACCGACTGCTCCTGCGAGTTATCGGTTGCCAACGCAAGAAGGGCACCTACCGGCAACTTTCCTACGCCCAGACCCTGAAGAGGGTAGGGTGCCAGAGCGTGGAAACCACCGTTCGGCAATGGCGCCTGCTGTTCGCGGGAGCGCTGGCAAGGCAGTCAGACGGACGACTCCCGAAACGGGTGATGCTTGGCGAGCTGGCGGGGGGGAAGGGCCCAGGCAGGGGAAACCGGAGCAAAATTGGCAGATGTACCTGAAGGACGACCTCAAGATGTTCGAAGCAGAGCGCGGATCTACGGACGCCGAGCCATGCTTCTTCGGAGTCCCGGAAACAACTTGGATGGAAGCAGCGAAGGTGGACCGGGGGGTACCGTGGCATACAGGGGTACTGCAGGGAGCTAAGAGGTTCATGACCTCCTGGTACAAGAAGGAAGAGGAGGCTAGCCGACAACAAGCGCTCAAACGAAACAAGAAGCCCGGCAACAACACGGCAACAACCACGAGGGGGGCGGGAGGGGTACAGCAGGCGGACGAGACGGCGAGGAAAGACAGGAAACGCGAAGAGGCGGACCGAGTGGCGCGAAACACTGTGTGTGCCGAATTGAACCCCTTGCGTCACTTGTCCCCCCCCCCCCCCCGGCACTGCACCATTGCACCAGCCCCCCGCGAGCGATGACGTGCATGGGCTGGCTCGGGTGGCCCGCTTTGTGTTGTGTTGTTTTATGTTGTCTTGTGTTATGTTTGTTGTTTGTTTGTTGTTTATCGCAACGGCGTGAGTCTTTCTCTGTCTGTGTCTTTTTCTTTCTCTTTCCCTTCTCTCCATCATCTGCTCTCTTCTTTTTTTCTTTTTCTCTTTCTCTTTCTATTTCTGTCTTTTTCCAATCTAGGGTTACCTCGCATAGCATGTAGAGGCGAGCGGAGTGGCCTAGACTATCTTTCGTTGACTTCCATTGGCTTGTGGACCCTTCGGGTCCATTATTTTCTTCGTATAGCTTTTATTTGGGTAAGTTAGCCTGTGACCACGGGAATCGACTCCGTCGAGTGTAAGACTAGTACGGACAGAAGAAGGTATTCGGCAGAGAGAACGGAACGGTTTTTCATGTGAAGACAACAGCAGCAGCAACAACAACAACAACAACAACAACATCAACTAAAACGGAAGAAAGACATGATGCATCCCGTGGGAGGCATCGACCCTTCCTTGCGAAAGGTAAAAGCAAGTAAAATATATCACCCGGCAGTGGGCATCGTCGTCTGCAGGACTCGAACCTGCGCGTGAAATCACAATAGGTTTCTAATCTATCCCCTTAACCACTCGGGCAAGACGACTTGCCGAATATGACCAACAGCTTTAATTCCCTTACCTGACGGAATCGAGGTCACGGCAAGCATCCGTCAAATGTCTTGCATCATGTGCGAGGCTGACCTGGGTTGGCTGCGGCTACACAGGGAAGGATCCCCTGCGTGTGCAGGTCCTACCGGAGCGCAAGGGATGGTTTCCGTGCGCATCACCCCCCCCCAACAAACAAACAATCAATCGTTGCCTAGACTAGATTAGATTCCCTGTGGATATAACCTAGAAAGCGTGTGAAATCTCCGCAACCTCTGTCGAGGACCACTCCCTCTTTTTACATTGGTGGTGTCGACGAACATGGTTACGGCGGGAGATAAACCGCGAGTTCGATTCCATCACCCACTTGGTTTTTCTTTTTGCAAAGAAGAAAAATTACACTAAAAGGAAGACCCTATGACGACGATGGCGATGCGTCGCTCGTGGACCAAAAGTCAGAGTCCGAACTTGCAAGTTCGGTGAAGGTTCTATGTGGCGGACGTGGTTGACCCGTATACGAAAACAAGAGAAAAAACGATTGTGAAGGTGAAAACGGCGACTTACGTCCAGCCGGTCGAGTTTCGGTTAACCTAAGAAGTCTACACTTATTACCAGCACTCAAGACAGACGACTCGGAGAGGGGGGGGGAAGCATTAATATGGAGATCACCTTTTACACGAAGGGCACAACGTCCCCAACGTCTGTCGAGGACGATTCCCTCTTTTCATAAACACACCACAACTCCTGTAAGCCTTTAGGCCATTCGCCCTTCCCTTTCGTGCAAGCGCTGAATGTTTTCAAAGGGCTTCGTTTCATCTCCGCATGTCTAAACGAAGCAAGTAGACTATACAAGGGATATATTCTGTTCGTCATGCCCTCGCCTGTGTTGTTGTCTCCTGTCTGTCTGTATGGACGTACACAAAATGTTTGCATATATCTACGCTGTGTTAGGTTCTCGTGTAGGGCATGCCAGTATGTAATTGTTTGGTCCAATGTTGCTTCTTCCCATCAAATGCCGAAAATTGTGCATGTTTGGATCGTGTCATACCTATACAGCAGAAGTTCTCTCGTGCATCGGAGATCACCATCAGACCACCAGCGAAAAAGAAAAGCTGTACAGCAGTGAGGAAAAAAGGCTTAATGTCATTTTTCCCTTACTTTCCTGTTTCTACGTCTGACTGCGGCAAAGCAGAAACCCGGCGTTTGTTTGGGCGCCCTCGAAGTCTCCCTGAAAATAATTCCATAGACAATCGCCTCATTTCATCATTGAATGGGTCTATCGATGTTTACCGTCGACGAGTCCTTACGCCTCTGAAAATGAACTTTTTGGTCAGATTTTCCACAAACGTTCATGCATGACTCACAACGCCACCAACGTTTAATGCATAGAAGATCTTACGGACGGACGGATGGCCATCATAACGACCACAATCAATCACTCTTCGTGCTTCCTGATACCTTTCAAACAAGGGCAAACCTGAACGACACTTGAAGAAAACTTCATGTAAACATGGAACATTTGGTCCATCGACATACTACAGACCAGCAAAGAGCGCAACACATCAGGTAGCGACGGGAATCGTCTTGCTCAAGCTTGGGCGAGAGATTCTACCAGCCTTCGGCTTGGCCGCCTCATCCTAGAACCGATACGGCGTGCAGGCTCTACAGGGGGTACGGGCGCGGCATCCGGTGCCGCCGCCTCTCCGTCATTCCCGCCTTGTTGCTCATGACTGTCGCCCTCGGCGGCTTCAGCCGGTACTCCTTCTTCACCTCCATTCCCGCCTTCTTGGTGACCTCCATAGCTTTCAACCGGTGATTCTGCAAAATTCAGGGGTCCAACCTCCGACAAGTCGAACCGTGACGGTGCAGGGCCCGCAGGCATGAGTGGGGCACCGATAACACCCGCCCAAGGCACGGCCTGGGCATGGGGTTCGTCGTCGTCGTCCACCGCGCCTAGTAGATCGTCCGAGGAAAGAGAGTAGCGGGCCTCCGGCACGGCAGGAGGAGGGAAGGGCGCCTGCCGCTGCGGGGCTGGGTCCGGGGGCTGCAAAATGTTGGGCTCGCCGGCCGGTGCCGGGGGAAGGGCTGCCGGTGCCGGGGGAGGCGGTGATGGTGCCGGCGAAGGGGGTAGTAGGCGGGCGTTCCTCAGCGGGCCCGAGTTGCCGGCTCGGGAAGGGGCGCCGGCGATCGCCTGGATGTCTCTGCCGTCCACCTCACGCACGGGACGACCCATGTTGTCGCCGAGCCCCGAAGGGGCGGCGGTCGCGTCTGGGAGCGAGAGTGCGCCAGCAGCGTCTCCACCGCCCCGGTGTCTCGTCGCCTCGGGGTGAACACCGCCCGCGGAGCCGCCCTGGTTGTCCGGGTGGCCTGCGTGCCTAGCCGTAGGTACCGCCGGACCGGCGCCTCCTCCAGGTTGGGGGTGTTTCTGTCGCCTGGATGTCTCTGCCGTCCACCTCGCGCACGGGACGACCCATGTTGTCGCCGAGCCCCGAAGGGGCGGCGGTCGCGTCTGGGAGCGAGAGTGCGCCAGCAGCGTCTCCACCGCCCCGGTGTCTCGTCGCCTCGGGGTGAACACCGCCCGCGGAGCCGCCCTGGTTGTCCGGGTGGCCTGCGTGCCTAGCCGTAGGTACCGCCGGACCGGCGCCTCCTCCAGGTTGGGGGTGTTTCTGTCTTTTTCGCTTGAGGTTGCTGTGCCCGATCGCCCTTGATCCGGCCTCTTCCTCGTCTTCTTCATCCTCCTCCTCCTCCTCCTCCTCCTCTAGCTCCTGCCCAAAGGAATGACGGGAGGAACGAAAGCGGGGCGTGGACGGAAATACTAAGTGGTGTGGGCAAGGTTTAGGCCCATCTTCGCGATCCTCTTTCTCCAGCACAACATGACGAAGTATACCTCAGCCCCACGATAGATGTACTGAATCTGCAATGTAAGTAGATGGGTCGAGGTAGTTTTCGAGCCGTTCTTCGTTTTCGATATGCGGCATTCGATGAAAGCGCATTTGGTCAGAGACTGAGCGGATTTATATAACCCTTCGTACCTAACCGTCCGTTTGGTCTACGTCATGTTCGCCGGGGGTGCAGGTTTTGATGTAGGAGCAACAAGCCAGAACTTCAAGAACACAGTGGAAGAAGAAGCGTGCCGCTAGGATATCTTCCCCGCCAGCTGGCGTATACCTGCATGAGCGTGCAGAAATGTAAAATGTGCCTGCAGTCACTCATTTGCGGAGGTAGACATGCGGATGGGCCCACGGTGAGCATCAATCTTGATCGTTTCGCCTCCACCATCGGCCATCGACCGTAAACCCTAACCCCAACCCCCAAATAACAGAGCTTGATGTTTATTGGGAAGGTTCTAGGTTCGTTTTTACGGGTTTTCCGCCGAAATCACTTGAGGAAACATCCAAACATTCCTACCAGTCCGGAGTCTTGCACACCAGCTCCCTCGTTCAGTGCTTCCTCTCCCTCTGGTTCCCTGTTCAACGTCGGACCAATTTCCTGGGACTGTCGAGGGTCATTTCCCTGTTTCAACCGCGTCTCATACGAGATGGCATCGGCCTGAGCAAAACAATCAAACACGAAACAATACAATTACTGCATGAAGCGCTTCCTTTCTACGCCAGACAGTATATCGCCGGTACATTCCCGCCCACGTGTGGTTACCAGAGGTTCGGTTACCAAAAGCAGTTAGGGATAAATGGCCTCTCTATTTACCCTTCCACACAAGGGCCTACTGTCAATGGCGGGGAAGTGGTTCCTTCGATATGAATGTACTGCTGTGCACACCGCTGTTCCTCGCTTGTGATTGGGTTTGTCTGTGGACCTGCAAGGGATCCAACGACTTGGTGGATAGTTCGTACCCTCTTATGTGTCTAGATCAGGGGAGTGCCCGCACCAATGCCACAACCACCGAAAATGATTTGTGTCATACCTGTGCCTGGTTGGAGAGCTGCTCGCCGACGTTCGGTCTTGCAGGGTTCGGTGGGCTCAACGATGTAGGAACATCAGTTGGTTGGAGGGCCAGTTCGTTCGCTGTGAATCCCCATACCTTTAGATGCTCTTGCACCGCCCTCATTCAAGGAACTTTCAACACATGGAGCAGGCGATGGAGGTAATACGGGACGGGTGGGCCCGTTATTCAGCGAAAAAATCTCTTGTATTCTTGCTTGAGAAGACAGGGATGTTGAAGAGAAACACCAGGCGCAGACAGACACTTACCGTTAGGAAAGACTCGAATTTTTCGCTAGGCGATGGTATAACGTCGTTCCATGTTTGCGACCCTCAACACCACACCGTGATTCTGTGGTGCCTCGCTCGTTCGTATCTCATCCCAAACACCGCACATGTAACAAGTGTGCCCAGTAAACATTGCTCCACTGGGCCGAATCATATCATGAGCGGGTGTTGAAGAGAGAGTCATATCTCATACTCCTCATACTACCAATATTCCCACACGTCTTACCTAGCAAGCACTGCGCCGCGTACGTTGGTCCCGTCTCTTTCAAAAAGAGGAAACGGTCTCCCGTCCTCTATGCGAATTCCACGTGCTTCCGTTTGCGCCCTCTGTAAGTACGTGAACGCATCTTGCTTGTAGGGCGAAGAGAAATAGGTTGTTCTCCTCGTCAATTTCACCGTGAACCACGGCAAGGCGGTGAAGCGACCTTGACACAGATACCCATGAGGAAAATACAGTGCAACAGTAGAAAAATCGGCACAAGAAGTCAACATCAGCCGGCATTGAATGGCAGCGTAACCACTAAGTGAACGCCGTGGTATCTGGAAAACCGTCGTATACATACCGTGGAACTAAGGTCGTATACGCACCGTGAATACACCAAAGGTGTGCGCCATTCATTACCCACTGATATATCGGTTCTTATAGCGTATTTTCACACTGAATATTGTTCATGGGCAACTCTGTCATGGTACGGTATAGATTCACCGCATTACCGTGGTTCACGGTGCAATTAACGAGGATGGTCCTCCGAAAAAAGGTCAAGCGTGAAGAGTCGCAAGGAGAAATCATGAGCAAGAGATTGGATGATCGCAAGGCGCTTGAAGCCAAACCAGACCTCATTGCGCCCGCTGTCATTGGACCACGTTGGAGATCCAACGATTCTCAAGAAGACAAGACCCTGCATGATAGAATCATACCAACGAAACTCGAGAAATAAAACGCTTTCGTTACAAGAAAGCTCGCTTACGCCGGGATTGGAACCCCTGACCATGGGTGAAACGTTTGCGAGGATACCAACTAGACTATTACCAGGGCGACCGTCTACATATCATCGGTTGGAAAATTCGGACAAGCGCGATCAGGTCATCTGGGCGAGGAAAGCAACACAAGCGGGAACGCAGAACGACGTTTCAACCAAGTAGCGCCAGAGCAACGAAAATAGCAAATCCCACTGTGTACCAGGAGCGTACCACTGGAAATGGTGCCTACATGGAAAATCGAGTAAAGGTAGCGTGGGCCATCACCAACCAGCCAAACAAGGACAGATCAGGAAATACAGAGACCTCTTCGACGAAATCAATATATTCAATTTCACGTACTCATGTCGGACCTTGTGTCCGCCTATTTGTCTTTGTCAGCGCCTCTCCCTAATGATTGGGTCGAATCGGGACCAATCATCTACCGCACGTATGTTCAGTGTCGGCGATGCGATTGCTAAAATCCACGAACCAGGATGCTTCCGTTGCCGACGGTCATACACGTGCGTAACACAGCTACACATTTGGGAGAGCTACTGGTTGCGTGGCACTTCTGATGAAGTACGCTCAAAACGTTGTTCCGCCTATCTACATGGTGATTGCGACTGATCATAGCACAGAAACGAAAGCGGTTTTACCCGAGAGGTCACTCCTAGCCGTGCATGAGTCTCGAATGTCGAGGATGTGGCGAGACCCGAAGCTGGGAGTGACCGATCGGAGTCGAGTCAAGGACGTGGGGCGTCATCGAACGAGCAACGTCTCTTGCGTGCGTGGAATGAGACAAGGCACCCTAAGGCTAGCGAATAGAAACCCAAAAATGATTTTATACACTTCCTCGAGCGTCCTGCTAGTAAGTGGTGGAGTCACGTCCTTTCGAGTGCGCAATCGCCTAACGTACGGGGAAGAGGCACCAACACCTACCTGTCAACACATTGTGAGGATAGTAAAAGTCTTGGTCCGACCAGATTTCGGGGGCGGATCGATAGAGAAAGCTGGACAATGCCACACAAGCAACCAGCAGCACCACGTGAGGTTCGGAGCGGCCGAGTTGGCGATGATGTCGGGCTAGAGCGGGGTTGAGGTGGTGTCGGTGAAGCATGGAGGCACAGCAGGGAAGTGCGAAGGAGCGCAAGTTCGGAGGTGAGGGCGAGTTGACCTTCATTCTCTCCGCAGAAGCGTAGAAGCATCGCCCGTGTCGGGGGTGAGAAGGAAGCGAGTAGGAGCCAATAGGCTTGCACCCAAGGGCCACGGCGATGCTCATGTTCGTGTTGAACGGCAGCAAAGCGATAGGCGTTTCGTAGTTTTCAATGGCAGCAAGTAATAGCGATTCGAGGACGGTTTAACACCGTCGAATTTAGTAATGTTGGAACATGTGCGAATAATATATGCACAACGGACGGCAATGGTTGATCTGTTTTTTGTTACCGAGACATTTGGTACTACCAATCTGCGCACGGTTTGCTTGCACCAAGCTAGTACGATCTTCAATTCTGTATTCAAGCAGCCGACGAGCGTGAAGCTGAGGCCCGGAGCAGCCACGGCGGATACGAACCTCTGGAAGCTCGGACGTTGCAGGAGAGGCACGTTAGCGCGCCAGAGGTAGAAGTTTGACGAAAACGTCATGGTCACGGACCTACCTGCCTTGCTGAGAAACAATAACGAAGGAAACCAATGGTTTTGGAGATGGCCAGGAGATCACAAGGTAGTGCGTACGTAAATGTCCAAGTCGATGAACCTGGCGAGCAGCGAGTGAAGACCCGGCAGAATCGCAATGAAACTGAACGGAGTTGGGCCAACAACGCGAGAAATCAGGAGAAAAGAATACGGGAGACACCGTCGTAGTGCCGATCGTCAGCAGAGAGTAGCGAAACAAACTGCACCAGCAGGTAGGGCCGCCACGTCGGACGACGGAAGAGTCGAACACGACGCGGCATTGTGGTGAGACACCAGTCACTTGCCCCGGGGCGACGGGACAAGATCGGTCATTGTGTTAAGGGAGGACGATGGTCTACGAGAGGCGGGATGATGAGACGAGGGCGGGAAAAAGAAGGCACAGGAAGGGTTGAATAGAGAAAGCCAGCCAGACCAAGCTACACAAGCAACCGGCAGCACTGCGCGAGGCTTTGGAGCGGCCAAGTTAGTGACGAGGACCGAGGCGCGGGGTGGAGAAGGCTTTTCACTGAGGCATCCGCCGTAGAGGTGGAATGGAGGAATGGTTCGAGGGTGAGGGCGAGATGGGGTCCTTTCTGCCCAGATTCAAGAAGGTGTGTTGGAAGCGGGAAGGAGAGGAGTAGGGGCCTGTAGGTCCGCACCCTAAGGTTACGACAGTGCCCAAATTGACAGGTGTTTGCCGAGCAGAGGCGGCACGGGGCGTTGCAGAGCTAAATGAGACTATGCAAAGGACCAAATCAGTCCTCTACATTACTGTCCATATGGGTGTAGCTTCCATGGAAGTAGATGTTTACTTCCATGGAAGCAGTACATACTTCCATGGAAGCTCATTGATTTTAGCTTCCATGGAAGCTCGAA